CTTTTGTATTATATCTTTTTAAATCTTCAACAGATGTATAATCTTTCTGCCTTCCATCACTTGTTTTTCTCCTGTCTTCAGTCCCCCTCCTCTTCTCCCTCCTCTTCTCCTTCTTCGTTGTCTCTTCCGTCTTTCTTTCCTTTTTGTTCTTGTCAGCTTCCTCTTCTTCTTTGTCCTCTCCTCACTCCTCTTCCGTATTGCCTGCTGTCTCTGTTCACAATCCTTCTGGTCTTTCCCCTAAACGTCTTCTTCCTCGGATGGAGTGGTTGGGTCTCTCTAGTTGTCTTTATGTCCTTCATCACCCATTTGCGTCCTTCCCACCACTTACGTCCTCTTCCCTATCTTCTCTACCTTCCTCTCCCACTTCTAAAACATATTGTTCATCCCTTTGCCTAATTCATGTGTTCTATATGTTTTATTTTTCTATGTTCATTAGTTTATAGTCCAATTTATTTCATCACTTCCTGCTCCTCTTGCTTTATCTTTCTCTTTACTTCCTCCTTCGCTATGATCGGCTGTTCTGGCTTCCATTCTTTCTTCTGCATTCATCATTTCCTCTCTCTCTGCCTTCTCTACCCTTCTCCTTCCTTTCCTCCAGTGAACTCTATGATCTGGCCTCACTGTCCTCCTTTCTTTTTTCTCTCTTTGATTGATATACGACTTCATCCCTTCCTGTCTCTCTGTCTCTTCCTCTCTTTGTCTCTATGTCCCTCCTTTGTCTAAAAAAGCACTTTGTAGAATAAAAACATAGATCCTTCAAGGTCAGTTCTCTTGCCAAAAATTGCTCCTTCTATTCTTTATTTGTCTTTATCTTTTAGAGTTTTTTCCTTCCGTTCTTCTTTGAACAGACACCCCCTCTTCCCGCTTTGGACCTTCTTTGATTTGTCTAGTTTCTTTTAAATTTTGTCCTCCATACACGATTATCCTTCTTAATCCAGATTTTGTCTCCTTTGTGAGAAAAAAAATTCCCAAGCAAATACTAAACAAATTCTTTACTTACTTTACTTTCGGCAGATCAGACCTGCTCTTTTCCATTCTTGCTCTTTAAAGTGAAATTGGCTGGCAGTTAGTCATAGATCAGATGATCCTGAATCACCTCAGCACGACCTGCTGTGCCCAGTGGATGTACTGGCCATATCCATTCCGCCACATTCCTTGAGGGAACGTGATGTTTTGGACCATCGGTCTTCCACCCTGCGGGCTCTGCAGTTCTCCTGGTTTCAGTCCACCTAGAGAAGGGAGCTAAAACTCTACCCAGTCATTGCTGGGGCCGTTAAGAAGTCCATCCTGCCACCATCATATCTCACTTGGAAGTCCAGTAGGTTTTTTT